GATACAAAAAAGTATCCTTATGTTATTTTTTAAAAATAAATTAATAAAAAAACATAAGGATATTTTTTCTATCCGTGTGTATTTCTTTTATGAATAAAAAAAGAAATAATAACACGTTAATTATTAATAATTTTTTCTATCCTTGTGTAATTCTTTTTATTGATAAAAAAAATTTCGCTTAAACTGAAAAATAATACGTTAATTATCATATTTATCAAATTAATCAATTAAAAATTGTCATAAAAACTACCTATATTTACTCTATTTGTAATTTAATTATCTAAATAGTTTTTTATAGGTAAGTACATACTCACACCAAAAAATACTCCCATCAACTGTCCTTGAAGATTCCTCGCCCTTTCACTTTTCCCCACCCACCACCTATTTTTTCCCACTTGTTTAATCATTTCTTTAATAATTTTATTTCCTTTTGCCCACCTTTTTCTGCCTTTAAATTAACCTACAACCTCAAAGACCATTCCTTCCTCTTCTCCTCCTCCTCTCCTTTGCTTGCATTTTCAGTTTCTTCAGCTATTTTTACTCTGTTTTCTGACCTCTTCTTCTTTGGCTTTCTTGTTTTCTCCGCTATTCTGCTCCTTTTAGGCTATTTAATTTCTGGGTTTCTAGTCTTTTTGGCTGAAACCCATTAAAGATCCAATCTTTTTATAGATTTGCAAAAGAACTCTCTGTTTCTGTGGTATGAAAAATTAATGCTAAATATTGATCTGTTATTCATGAACCAAATTCATGTCTCCTGTTCTTAGTGAAATCCTTCGTTCCGGTTATATAATCAGTTCTTCACTTAGACGCAGAACCCATCTTGTTCAATCTTTCTCTGTTTGTTTCCTCTACTGGTTCTACGTTTTCTCAGAAATCATCACTTCCCCATAATTATCTATATAGTTAATTATATCTAGTTTTACCATTAATTAGTACTACTTTTATTTGCTTGGTCCTGTGTTTTTTTCTTGGTACTAATATTTGTTCAACAGCCCAAGAAAATAAAACAGAGGCTAAAAGTTTTAAAGGTGTAAATATATATATATATAGAATATTGTGATGGCTACATCTAGTGGAAATTCAACTGGATCTACTCAGATTTTGAACTCAGGTTCTGAAGAAGATTTGCAGGTTTCAATGTTAGATGAAAGGAAAAGAAAGAGAATGCTATCAAATCGTGAATCAGCAAGAAGATCAAGGATGAGAAAACAGAAACATCTTGATGATTTAATTGGCCAAGTTGCGCAACTGAAAAAGGAAAACAACAACATCCTTAGCAACATCAACTTGACAAGTCAACAGTACGCTAATGTTGAAGCAGAGAACTCTGTTTTAAGAGCTCAGATGATTGAACTTAGTCAAAGGTTGCAATCTCTTAATGAAATCCTCAGTTACATCAATTCCAACAACAACAATAATAATAATAATAACGGAGTTTTTGAAACTCATCATCATTATCAGGAGGATATGATGAATAATTCATGGAATTTGATGTATGTTAATCAGCCAATTATGGCTTCTGCTGATATGCTTTATCAGTATTAATATTAAAAAAATATATTAGGAATAATTATCACCATTAACTGTTTTAATGGTGGTGTTGTTCAATTAATGGTGGTTGTGATGATGAGTGGAAGGAAGAATGGAAGGGTTATTTTATTACTAGTATCTTTATTATTATTTGGTTTTATTGTTACTTTATTTTAAGCAATATGAGCAGTAGATCTGAGTAATATTATGAGTTATGAGGATTATTAGAATGATTTAAGATGAGTTGACTGGTCTTTTGGGCATGTAAAAAGGGTCAGGTGTTTGATATATTGGAATGAATGGTTGTGAATGCACTATGTTTCTCTTTTTAATAAATTGTTTCTATGTACTATATTCCTTTTTTTCTTTTAATTTTGTTTTATTTTATTTTTGATGTGATCCCTTATATTTTCTCCAATTTTTCTTAGCTCTCCAAATTGCTTCTGATGATCATAATATATTTCATCGAGTCTGTGTTATGTTGCTAATAAGTTGCCTAATTTCTTAATACTTTGAGATGATGAGATCCAAGAATTTTCCGAAATTCTTAATTACTTTAAGATCCAAACAAATACGGTTACTGTCCTCTTTCATTATGTCTCTGGAAAAAGTACAAAGATGAAGATCTCTTAAGAATTTATACAGAGTTAGATATTTTTGCACCAAATCAATGAAAATTTGGCAAGTGGCTTCTACATATACTCTTTATCACTTATGAATAATTAATTAATACGTGTTTCACTTTAATTTTTCACTTAACAATAAGCATTGAGTGTGATTAATTTTTTTTCGATATAGACTTCAAGAGGTATATACAATAATAATAATATACCTAGTATAATCTCACAAGTGAAATTTCGGTGAGTGTAGTATGTAGGGAGTTTTATCTCTATCTTGTGCAGAGAAATTGTGTCCGATAGACCCTCGGCTCAAAGCAAGTATGCATTGAGTTTTAATCATAATATATACAAGTTGATATTAATTTGAAGGTTTAGTGGTGTACGTTCTTTATTGAATAAATTAAGTTATAATTTAGTACTCTTGGACAGGCTTAACTTAATGTACCAAAACCGTGTGGTATATTAAATGAAATGCTAATTTTAAAAATCTTGCAGCTACATACACATCTAGTAGTCCTTTGTCCTTCACTAAGAATCAGAGAGATACTGCTTGAACTTAGCATTGATTGTATATTTACTACAGTACTATTTACCAAACCAATTCAAAGTTACTTACGTATAGCTTTAGGAAATATTGTTCACACGTGATATTTTCTAAATAACCGTCACGTCCTTAGTTGTTAACCAAGTATACGTGCGACACTTGACAACTCGCTCACGATCTTGTACAACTTGCTCACGTTTTTGCTATGTCAAGTCAGTCTTGCTACACTCAAGATCGCTAAGAGAATGGAAGAAAGAACACAAGAGAATTGTTAAAGGAAGCTTTTTATTAGGGAGAACTTGAATTGTTTGCTTGATGAATTACAAATGAATGACCCCCTTTATATACTAGTTTCTTAGGGGCTAGTGTGTAAATATTAATTATTACACAAGTCCTTGATATTTACAAGATAATGACTTTTTCTAGAATTCTCTACAAGCCTAGAAGATTCCAAGGA